GTCATCCCCCCATTCTGACTACTCAGACAGATCAATCAGCTCACCTTGTGCAAATCGGCATGAGGCCCCCGCCCACACCTGCCAGGTGGGCACCGGAGGTCCGTCCGCACGGCCGATTTTCAATCAACTGCAATGCAGCTGGTCCTTCCAGGCACAGCAGAGGTCCTGCTCCCCGCTCTCTGTTCCCTGCCCAGTGTGTGGGGTCTGCCTGGGGGGCTCACACACATTTGGTGCTCAGGAAAAGCCCACCCTGTGCTGGGCTGCTATGGGATTTCTTGGAAATGTGGTCTTTGTCTCCCACCCACTACCACTACTGAGCACTGACTGTATACAAGCCAAGCGTGGTGGAGGTCCCATGTCTCAGCATCCTTGCAAGAACCCCGCTAGCTGGATCTTCTCATTTTCCTCCACCCCATTTAACAGACAAGAACACGGAGCCAGGACACAGGTCAGGTCTGTGTGGCCCTGGCCTCCTTCTGACGACCGGGCAGGTGCTGCTGCCTCCCAGCAGGATGGGGCCTTGGGAGCGCCTGCAGGAGTGGTGGCAGGTCTGAGGACAGAGCAAGAACCTTCCAGCCATGACCATGTCGGAGCTGCTGGGCATGGGGATTGCGGAGCAATTTGGAAAGAGCATTCTGTGACCACTACTCTGAGCTTGGGTCCCTCTGGTTAAAGTGAGAGGTCACAGGGGAGACTTCTTTGCTGTGGGTGACCAGCTCCTGTATCAGTGAGAAACAAAAGCCTCTGGGCCTGAGGTGGGCAGAGGCCAGCTTGCCCAGCCCCTTGCTGTGGTCCGAACTTTGCCTCTTTCCTCCTGGGAGGAGAGGTCTCCAGGTGTCTTGCAATCACTGACCAAACACTGACCAAACACTGTACCTGTGGCCGTGACAATAAACCTTCAGGGGATGCGTCACTGGCCCCATATCTTGGATGGGAAACAGGATCAGGGGGCCGTGTGCTGGGATCAAGGTGGTGCCACTGTTGAGCTGGAATTGGAAGCCAGATCCCTCTGATATCAAAGCTGGGTTTTCTTTCCACCCCGCAACCTCAGCTCACACTCGGGAAGGCTCTGCGCTGTGCTCTCCACTGCCCATTCACATCATCACTCCGACGAGTAGCAGTATGATGTACACGGGAAAATGCACAAATGAAAATAGCTGGATGCATTTTCACAGCCGGTGCACACAATATAACCAAAGCCCAGTTGAAGAAACAGGAGCAGGGGCACCCCAAGCCCGCCTTTAGCACCCCGTCCAACCCCCACCCCTCGGGGGTACCTGCTTGCCTGACTTGCACAATAAAAGCAGTTTGCCTGTGCTGGAGGGTTCATACAGACAGAGTCTCTCTCCCACAGCCTGTACTGTCGGCTTTTTTGGTTCAGCATTATGTCTGTGAAGTTTTTCCATGCGTGTGTGTGTTTGTGTGTGTGTGTCCTTGCAGCTCACTGGCGTGTTATCCCGGAGGGGCTCTGCCACCCCATATCCACTCTGCAGCAGGCAGACACTGGGGGGTCTCCAGTTGTTTAAGCCCCTCGCTTTGGTTCTGTTGGTGCAGCTGAAGAACAGTGGGCCATTCTCCCGCACAGGACTCTCAGGCCTCTCTCCCCCTCCTCTTCCCCTGCCAGGGCCTATCAGAGATGAAGCTGGGGGTGGGGCGGCTCCTTTCACTTGCCTCTTATCCTGCGAACTTCAGTAATTCTAGGCTTTGTCTCTAACACCCTGTGACAGCCTCATCACAGACGGAGTCCAGGCAGGGGACCACCTTACTAAGTGGAGCTCTGCAGGGAGGGATGGGTTGAGGGGAGGGCCTGGCCACTGGCTGAGAGGAGGCGCTGTCACCCATGGGGTATCTTTTAAGGAGATGGGGGTCCTCTTCCTGTTCATCAGTGAGGTTGGGGACTGCAGACCGCTCTCCAGCGGTCTGCCAGCTCTCCTCATGTCACCTCCATCTCCACTGGGAGGCCAAGGAAATTAGAGCAGAGCCTTGGGTGCAGGGACGGGCCTGTGAAACGGGCTCAGGGCGGTAACCACTTCCATTTCCTGCGTAGGAACACTTAGGACAGTGCTTGCTCAGCGCAGCTCTGGGCAGACAGACCTGTGTCTTAACCCAGATTCTGCTGCGTACCCGCTGTGTGACCTGGGTAGGTCTCTAACCTCTCTGAGCTCCAGGGTCCTTGCCTGTACAATGGACACAGCAGCATCTCCCCGATGGTGTGCATGTGAAATGTCAACATCCGGTGCCTGACGCGCCGCACAGGCTCAGCGGATGGGAACTCTTCATTGAATGTGCGCTTTGGCACCTCGGCCCCTCCCCCTCCTTCCACCCGCCACATGGAGATCTGGACGCGCAGTGGCCTAACACTGTCATCGAGTGTTTTTCCCACTGTCACCAGGGAAGTAAAAACCCGCAGATTTGCTGACAAGCCTAAAAAACCACCAGGCCCAATGAGTGCTCGTAAGCAGCTGGCGCAGGCAGAAGCAGGGGGTTTCTGGGTTTCTATAGACTTCAGGCAAAAGAAGAGGCTCAAAAACATTTCTGTCATCTAACCCAGCTATTTCACTTGGGGAAATTTACTTGAGAGGAAAGACCGTTTAAAAAGAGACAAAGCCCTGGTCCCTTTGCCTGTTGGTTGAAGTGTCATTCTGTAAACCAAAGAGCCACAGGTTAGATTCCCAGTCGGGGCACATGCCGGGGTTGCAGGTTGGGTCCCCTGTCAGGGTGCATTGGAGAGGCAACTGATCAGTGTTTCTCTCTCATAGTGATGTTTCTCTCCCCCCTCTCCTTTCCCCCCTCTGTAAAATCAATAGACAGGTTCTTAGGTTAGGATAAGAACAGGAGAATAAAAATGGACAAAGCTTGCCCCGGCTGGTGTAGCTCAGTGGATTGAGCACAGGCCTGCGAACCAAAAGATGGACGTTCGATTCCCAGTCAGGGCACATGCCTGGGTTGCAGGCCAGTTCCCAGAAGGGGACACACGAGAGGCAACCATACAATGATGTTTCTCTCCCTCTCTCCTTCCCTTCCCCTCTAAAGATAAATAAATAAAATCTTTAAAAAACAGACAAAGCTTTATCATCACAGTGTTTTCTGTTACAATGAACAGTGGTGACCTTAAAAGTCATAGTGAGAAAAAAAAATCAACCAATAGAAACAGACCCAGAAATGACCCAAATGGTAGAATCAGTACATACAGATGGTATAAGTATATTCTATTCGTGTAAGATAGAACTTGTCAAACACAATAAAACCCAATCAAATACAAAAAAAAGCAAAAGATCAGTGGCGGTGGTGTGGATGATGAAGGGGATGGCGTTGGGAGTAACCATAAATAACACTTATCTCCAGCTGTGGACCAAGCCCTATTCATATATGGTCTTGTCGAATCCCACAAGACGGCGATGAAGGCGATAGTATCGCCACCCTTAGCACACACAGGAGGAGACAGGAGGCGCGCTGCTGAGCCCCTTGCTCCAGGCGACGCAGCTGGAATCCAGGCCGTCTGGTTTAGACTCCCTCCTTCTCACCTCCACGTGACACTGCGTAACCCACGTTGTGGTCGTCCAAACGCATTCTCTCCGTGGGTGCGGCTCGGTGCGTTGTGCTGCGTGCGTGTGGTCTCTAGGCCCCACAGCAACACAGGAAGGAGGGAAGGACTGTTGTCCCCATATTGTCCTGCCAACGTGGAAACCGAGACTCTTGGAGGTGAAGGGATTTGCTCAGGGCCCCACAGATGGTAAGAGAAGGAACCAGAGTTCAAACGGCATCCTCCTGATCCCAAACCCAGCCTTCCAGACGTGCCTTTGGAGGTGTCCAGGACAACTTTTTCCTGAGGTCCCTTTACGGCATCAGTGTCATGGCTTTTCTTTCTCTCTGGGGAAAGCTTTCTGGAATCAACAACATCTTCTGGTTCAGGCTACTTTTGCTCCTGCCCAGTGATGCCAAACGGCGGGAAGCTGGCACTCTGGGAGGTAGCCACGTGCCCCATTGAGAGCCCAAATCTAGAAGACCGCGTGTAGGGTGAGGTCGGACTCTGGCTTGAGTGTCAGGGAATGAGTACCGAGCACACGTGGGGGAGGCTTGCCGAGGAAGACGCCTGCTTCGCCTGCTGTTTAATTATTTCCAGTGCAGATCGTTTTCTCGCACAGGAGGCGATCAGCTGGTGATGGGGTCGAGGAACAAAGGAAAAAGTAGATTGAGAGGAGAGAAGGAAGAGAGAGGAGTGAGAGGACAACTCCCAGCAGTGATTCTGGGGCACTTCTCTGGGTGGACCTCTCTCCACGATGCCCCCGTGTGCCCTGCCATCAGCACCTGCTCCTAGTGAGGCTGGATCCTCGCCATGTGTTCATTAGCATTCTTGTTTGTGACCTGGGGCAGAGCTTCTGCAGGTTGTCAACGCACACCAGTCGCCTTCGAGTTGTGCATGTGCTGTGCCTCAGCAAGCCATCTTCAGGAATCGATCCTGCAGCAACAGTTCCAGACATGCACTGAGATTTAGCCTGAAAGGTCCCTTTCACTGAACCACTGTCTGGTCTAGAGCCGTCAACACTAACCCACGTGTCCATCAATAGGGGATTCATTAAATGAGTGGCATAGCCATAAAATGGAATGTGAAGCTGCCTTCCAAAATGTTACCGCAGAATATTTAACGATGAAGAAACTTGCTCAAGTTATATTGGTAAGTGAAAAGAGAGGCAAAGTACTAGAAAGTGCAAAGTACTAGAAAGTACACCTATACCATTTTCCTAATTTGGTCAGGGGAAAGCGTGGAGATGTGTAAAGAGCAATAGAACCCGAAGGGTCATGGTACGGGCTTAATTTCTTCTTATTTATGCTTTCTACATCTTCTACACGGAACAAGCGTTTCTTTTGCAATCAAAAAAAAATAAAAATAAAATTCCCCAGTGCCAGAAAAGAGGAAGGACACAGAAGGGGCACACACGTGGCCTCCTCAAGAGCTGGAGCTGGGAGAAGCAGGGTCGGGCTCCGCGGGGCGGGGGAGCATCTTATATAAGGCACCACCTGCGTGAAGCTGACTCCAGCAGCTGCTTCCACACTCCGCGCCGGATCATGGAGCTTCCCCTGCTGTGTGCGCTGGTGGTGCTGACTTGTGAGTGGAGACAAGAACCCCGGTTGGGAAGGGAAGGAGGGATGCTGGTAGGCCCTATATATCGTTCCTAGGCTGGCAGGGATCCCTACTGCCCTGGCGTCTCAAGCCCCCAACCCTCTGCCCCTTGCAAACAGCCATCAGCAGCTTCCAGTCCCCTAGAACATTGTCTTTGGCCAGAGAGGGCTGGGTGGCAAGCCCCCAGGCTGCTGTGAAGGTCAGAAAATAAAGGTTCAGAATCCAGGGTCTGCTGAGCTGACGCCTGTGGTACTTTGGACAAAAATTACAGAAATGGATCTCCCCACCTGCCTGTTTGACCAAATAATAACAGTCACTTCCGTACACACAGCACTGCATATATTTACAACCCAATCACACTCATGATCTCCCTTGAACCTGGGAAGAGGGTTCTGGGGACTCTGGGTGGGAGATGGAGCAGTTTCTCCTGGATCTTTAGCAGATCAAATATAAAAATGTGGTTGCTAGCAAATTGGCATTTTGTTCTCTAACCATCTCAAAACTATGTGATTTTAGAAAGGATATATTTTTAAATTTGGTTGTAAGTTACCTCGGGACTCCCAAATTATCCAGAGCAGCACATCTCCAGAGTCACAGTGCAAACCATTAGGAAAGTTGCAGTCAAGTTAGAGAAATCCATCTCTCAGATGTAAAGAGGCAAGAGAGCGGAGAGGTAAAATACACAGATAAACCCAACTCAGATGCCAGCCTCACTGTCCCCGGGCAGTGTGACCTTGGCCAAGCCACCCTATCTCTCTCTGTCCTCACCTGTAAAATGAGCATGAGAGCACCCTCTTCACGGGGTTGTTAGAAGAACTTTACTTAGGAAATACATAATAAAATTGTAAGTACAATGAAGGAAGCAGTCAATAGCTTAACACACAGCGCATGCACGGAGTGGTGGCAATATTGCCTCCCGCCCCGGTGGGAGCCCTTGAAAAAGGCTTCATTTCTCTGGGTGGCAGGTAAGGATGGAGCAAGATGCTAGGGCAGGGCTTGCTGAGAAGCTAAGCCAGTTCAACAAAGCCCTCATAGCCACAGGTTGAAGTCCTCAGTTTCTCAGGACTGGCTGCACCTCAGTGCAAAACTGGGAGAAATAAGCCCATCCTAAGGCATCCTGATTCAAGGCTGAGTTTATGGCTTGCCTGTCAAGAGAGAAGAATCCATCTCTCTCTGTATAGTTCAGGTGTGAGCTGGTTTGTGCATGTTTTTCTTTCCTAAAAAGTATTTTATTTATTTATTTTGAGAGAGAGAGGAAGGGAGGCTGAAAGAGCAGGAAAGAAACATCAATCTGTAGTTGCCTCTGGTATGCCCCCAACTGGGGACTCAGCCTGCAACCCAGACATGTGCCCTGACTAGGAATTGAACCAGTGATTTTTTGGTTCTTAGGCCAGCACTCAATCCACTGGGCCACACCAGCCAGGGCTGTGCATGCTTTTCTAAGTTGAAATGAAAAACGGTAGATTTAGGGCAGAAGGAAGGATGGAGGTATACCATAAAGGCAAGATTCTGAATTCAGGACCCTGATTGGCCCCCATGTTGGATGGATGGCCACTCTCTTTGCAATGTTCTGTCTTTGGGTGCCTTTAGCACTGAATCTGGGGTTCCAGAGGGCCTGAGATCATTCATCAGTATGGTCAACTCTTAAATAAGATTTCTCTTTAACATCCATACACCTGGAGCCACACTGAGGGGACACGGGGGGGGGGGCACGCAACAGGCTTGCAAATACCTGACACCGCTAGTCACTTTCAGGTGTAGCCCAAGGCCACCTGTCTGTGACCTCAGCCTTGGTCCTCTGCATGAGTCCCTCCCAACCTCCCCTTCTCAGCCTGGCCTCCCCCAGAGCAGGGCTCACACCTGGGCGTACGATTTAATTTGTTTGTGTGAGTAGCTTTGATTACAACATCATTTACCTGGAGGTCAAGAGCTCTATAACTAGGGTCACCCCAAGTCTCCCTGAGACTCTCGGCTCCCTCTGTCTCCTTGAATCCTCTGTCGAGGTGGCGCACGTGTACATTTTAATCCCCTTCTGATTTTTTCTCTTTCTTGCAAATTCTCCCTTGAATTCATTGACTTCATATATTTCATTTCTCCTAACTCATTGTAACACATTTCTCTCTCCCAAGAAAATAGATTTCCCTTATGATCAATTCCAACCAGAGGCTATTATGACTGAAATAAAAATTATCCCTGAAAATCATTGATTTTCTAAATCATGCTACCACCCCGAAGAGCCAGGCATGCTCTTTACTATGTGAATTCCTCTACCAAACGTGGCGTCGGGGATGGAGGGGTGGGGGCGTTCAGGAAGCAGGGAGAGTCTTCCTGAGGTTGAATCGGATCTCAATGCCTGGGACGGAGAATAAAACCGAGTGCCTTGGGTCTTCTGTGGCAGGTGTGACTCCAACCCAGGGCGGGATTTGGAACCTGAGCAAGATGGTCAAACAAGTGACCGGGAAGACAGCCGTCACCTCCTATTGGCCCTATGGCTGCCACTGTGGACCCGGTGGCAAAGGCACACCCGTAGATGCTACGGATAGGTAACCCCTCCCAGGCAGGCCCACCGGGGTCGTCCTGTCCTGCCTGCACCCCAGGACTCTCTCCTTTCCTCTCCACCCATTTATTTTTTTATTGAGTTTATTGGGGGACATTGGTTAGCAAAATCATGCGGGTTCCAGGTATGCAATTCTATAACACATCACCTGGGTGTTGTATTGTGTGTTCACCGCCTGTGTCACTCCCTCCTCCGCCGTTTATCCCCCTTTACCTTCTTCCATGCCTTCATTCATTCTGTGAATTCGTTCCGTACTATGTGCTGGGAACTCTGCCAAGCTCCGTCCAACACAGCCCCTGCCTTCCTGGGGCTTGCCTTCTAAAGGGTTCCCCAAAGTCTCTGAAGACGCCCGCTTGCACTGCCAACACCTGATCTGTTTAGAATACCCCCACACATGCCCACTGCCACTGCACAGTGTTTTTAAAAAGCCCCACCTCTCTTTGCCATTATCCCCTTTGACCTTTACCACAACCCTGGGAATCACCCACCAGAGGAGAGATGCGGGCTCACCAGGCCCAGGTCATTTCCCTGATCCACCCCTGCAGGCTGTGTGCCCCCGGGCAAGTGGCTGGACTCCCCTAAGTCTCTGTTTCCTCCTCTGCGAGGTGAAGGCAACACGAGTGCCCTGTTGGAGAGTGGGGGCGAAGGTTAACAGAGCATTCCTAGCAAAGGCCTGGAACCCAGGAAGCACCCAGTAAAGATTCGTTAGCAAGAAAGGCCAGAACCCTGCCGGCCCCGACTCTTCCAAGAGGGCCCAGGTTCTCCTCTGGGGCGGGCGTTGCCAGGACCCGAGTCGGCTGAGGCCTCGTGTGTGTGCTCCCCGTCCCACCTCCTGTCCTCTCCCTCCAGGTGCTGCCACACTCACGACTGCTGCTATATTCACCTGAGGTTCCACGACTGCCGCTTCAACTTGGACCATTACAAGTACAGCTTTACCCAGGAGGACATCCAGTGCTGTAAGTGCCTGGGCCTCTGGACCGGACGCCGGGGAAAGCGGTTCTGGCACTCACTGCCTTCACATGCTGTGCAGGGAGGCACAAGCTACTCAACTTCTCTGTTTTTCTTAGGTGTCCAGCGGTAATAGCTGGGCCATGGAGGAGTGTCAGGAATGGGGGCAGGAATATAAAGAGGTCCAGTGGGGGTGGAAGTAGGGAGATGTCCTATCGGGGCTTTGACCCCTTCCTTTATCTGGAAGGGTAGCCAACCTCAGCTTAGATCCCGGGCCCACTGCTGACCAGCTGTGTAACCTTGAACACGTTGCTCACCCTCTCTGAGCCTCAATCTTCTCATCTGTAAACTGAGGATGATAACATTGTTCTGCCCCAAGTAGTTGATTGAGAACTCAAACGAGGGCAGACAGAATGAGCTTCACAGAGGCCTGCTGCAGGACACATGCTCAAGAGATGACATGGGCTGTTGATATTGCTGTCACCACCGTCATCATTATTGTTCCTCACAGCAGCCCAGCCAGGAGGCAGCCCCACCCAGATCCGCTCCATGAAAACTGAGTGAAGAAGTGTTTGCCCCGGGGTCACACAGCTACAAACAACAGAGCCTGGGTCGGATCCCAGCTAACCTGGCCCCTGGGCCCGCGCTTGAGCACTGATTAGGTACTGAGTGCTTGGCTCCTCACTGTAACTCCCCCAACAGCCCCCTGAGGCAGCACGTGACCCTCATCCCCATCTTACAGGAAACGACACTCAAATACAGTGGTCCCTTCTGCCTCAGAGTCTTTGCACGTGCTGTGCCATCTGCCCGGAACACTCCCCCTCCCCCACCCTGGCTCTCTATGGGGAGAGCAGACCCTTCCAAATCCAGCTCAGATGGCTCTTGTCCCACTGCTTTACTGTCCTGCAGCCCCGGCCTTGGTCATTATGTCCATGGAGCAGAGTCTGTGATGTTCCTCTCTGTGGTTCTCATATATCTTCTGCCCCCATGGGAGTGTGAACCTCACAGGTCCTCTGCGTTCAGTCCTGTGCCCCTCAGGGTTTGCCACAGGATAGGTGCCCAGCTGTTCATTTAATGGATGAATAAATAAGGAAAGGCACCACGCCACAAGAGGAGGTCATGGTACGGCCCACGGTCACACAGCCAGAGTCAAAGTAGCTGGAGGACACCCTAAAGCTGAGCAAGGATGGCACTGCCTTCAGAGGTTCCCTCCAGGGACCCCAGACCCTGTCTCAGGCAGGGGTGGACACTGAGCCCCCTCCTCCTCCAACCCACAGCTGACAAAGGGACCTGGTGTGAGCAGCAGCTATGCGACTGTGACAAGGAGTTGGCCTTCTGCCTGAAGCGCAACATGGGCACCTACAACAAAAAGCTGCGTTTCGCCCGGTTCTCCAAGTCCAGCTGCAAGGATCAAACCCCTATGTGCTAGGAGAAGCCTGCCCAGCTGTCCCACGTCCCCTGCCCTGCTGGCTCTTGGACCTCGGAAGTCCGGCAGGATTGCTGACACCCCTGCCACAAGGGTAGCTAACCTCCTGAACCGGCCTGGCTCCTTGAACACACTCCCTAGAAGAGGGAGGGTCTCGGCTTCTTTCCCACCACCCACCTTGCCTCTTGGACCTTCTAAATCTTCCCAACCTAGGCAGCGGCTCTCTCCTTTGAGGGTGGGTTGTAATCTTGGAGAAATCCACAGCTAGGGAGCCCTGGGGGGTGGCGTTTGAGCAGAAGCAGCAGGTGTTGGGGGCAGGGCCTGGGGGCCGAGGAGTGGCAGGTTCTCCCTTGCCTATGGCACTCACTCACCAGGCCTCCCAGTCCCATCTCACTTCTCCAATACACTGTCCGAGCTGCAGCCGGAGTGGCCTCTCTGAAGGGCAACACTGATCTTTCCATCCTGTGACTCTACTTAAAACCCTAAGACCTTCTATCACCCGAGGACAGGGCCTCTTGCAGGAGTTTGGGACCCGCACTGTCTGCGCTGTATCCCTCTCCCTACTAGGCTTGAAGGTCCTGGTTGGTGGGGCCCATGCCTGTCTTGGGCTCATCTGCATTCCTGGTGCCCGAAGTAGTGTAAGGGGAGGCTCGGTACATGCCTCTGGAGAAGGCTGGAGGAAGCCCCTGCTGCTCTTGCCCCAGGCCCGCAAGCACATGCCCCACCGTCCTCCAGGTTCTTTCCTTTCCTGCCCCCAGGCCTTCACCCAGGTGGCCTTTCTTCGGAAATGCCCCGCTTGCCTTCTCCGGGTGACTACGCCCTCGTCGGGCTCCTCAGAAGGCTCCATGGCTGATTCCTCCCCGGCTCTAAGGCCTCACTCCCTCCTCTAAGCTCCCATAGCACTTTTTGGGTCTGCAATTTACCAAACTTCACCTTGGGTGCTTGATCATTGTCTGGACTTCTCTGATCCCTCCCAACTAGACTGGAGCTCCCAGAGGATGGAGGCTATGTCGGTGACAGCTTTCTTTCCTCCGCTCCTCCACATAATAGGTGCTCAGTTAATGCTTACTGACTGAATGAGCCCATAACGCGTAAGTGGAGGTGGTGGCAGATGTTGCTGGTGTCCCACTCAGAGCCCCTCTGGCCCAGTTCCCCGACTAAGCCAGACGTTGGCTCTGAAGTGCTCACATCTGCCTCACTCTCTTAAGGAATGACCTTGTCTGCTGGGAGCTACCTTGCCTATCCGCCCACACTCACCCCACCACCTCTAATGGATGAGAGTGGAATATAACACCATGGAGAGTATGATTGCCCACCCTCTGCCTGCGCAGGGCCATGTGGACTGTACCTTGCACGTCCAAGGGCTCCTCCTGGGGTCAGACATCTGGGGCCACCTCTTTGCTTGCTCTGTTCCCCGGCCTATCCTGTTTTCCTTGTTCCCTTACAGGTTTCTCCTGGGAGTACTCCCTCAATAAATCTGCCACTTGCACAACGAGCCTCATCTCAGGATTGGTTTCTAAGGAAACTGACTTTGAATGGATGAATGGATAGATGGATGATGGATGTACAGTCAATGAAAGAATGGATGGCTTTTTCATATAAGGATCCACAATCTGCCATTCGTATGTAATTAGCCATGTCTTCAGCAACAGGGCTGGGGTACCGGAAGCCACCCGTGACCTCCAGCCTGTGACACACACACATATGTGAAACAACTGGCCCAGCAATTTTCTGTCTACATGAAGCTCAGCGCTTCATGCAAAGGAGCATAATAGGGATTAAGAACTACAGATGCTGAGTTCAAATTCTAGTTATACCACCCACTAGCCACGCGACCTTCCAGGAAGGATCTCAGTTTCCTTGTGTGTGACATATAAATGAAATGAAGAAGAAAATAAGGTGAGATTAGTGCATTAAACAAAATTAATGGCGAAGTCTTAGCACAATGCCTGGCCATGGGTAACCCTCTTTAAACATTAACTGTGTTGTTATTGTGATTGCCATCGTTGCTACAGAGTAACCAAATCCAGTCACTGTCCCAATAAACCCGGAGAAAATCATGTTTTCCTCTGGCCACCCAATTCCTCTCTCTTTTCTACATGACTGTGTAAGCTGTGTCAGTTAGATCCTGAAGCACAATGTCCAATTTATTCAAGGTCAAGAGCTGGCGACTCTAGCTGTCCATCAGAACTTCCATGTTCCAGGCTGTGACTTGGGCATCAGTGTTGGTGGGTATGAGCATTTATTCCTATTTTAAAACGGAACAACCTGATGCTCAGAATGGGCCCAGGAACCTCCTGAGGTCCTGCAACCAGCAAAAGGCAGAGCCAGGATCCGCCCTCGGACTCTTCCCAGCATGCTCCCTGGCACCCACCCCATTTGTACTGATCAGGAAGCTTCCTGCTGAAAACTGTGACTCAATGGGCTTCGACAGTGAGGGCATTTATGACCTTACATGACAATAAGTCTGGGGGGGAGGTGGCTCCTTAGTGGCTTGATGCTGCCATCGTCCCCGGTCTCCCTCCTGCCCCTGGCTGGCCCCAGAGCCTTCCAGAGAGCTGCTCCTGGCTCCAAGAGGGCAGCCGTGACCCAGATCGCAAGCCAGGGCATGATAACATCCAGCAGAGAAAATGCAGTCGCTTTTGTGTCTCTCTTTAATCAGCCCACCACCACCACCTGCAGATCTCCCCACTCAGGACTAGCCCCCCCAAACCACGGTGGCCCCAGTGAGTCCCCTGGTCAGTCTTAACACCTCAGGATTTATTTACCTCTAAGATGGGGCAGGGTCAATGTCTCTGAGAGGTGCACAGCTGTGAGAATGGGGGCTGTCGGAGTTGTTGATGGGACTGGCATTGGGTGGGCACACCTGGGGCTGGGCCAGGAGCAAGGCTGCGTCTGTAGTGCTCCCCTCTGTGAGCTAAGCACCTAGTGCAGGGCCTGGTGGTCACATAATAGGTGTCAATAGGTATTTGTTGAATGAATGAATGAATGAATGAATGAATGAATCCCAGGCTGGTAAAGACATGGCACTTTGGACCAAGAGGAGGGAGGGGCACATAGGGTCTCCGGGTGGCCAGAACTGAGTCCCTGAAGTAAGGCAAGGCCCTCCCACCCAGTGAGTTCTTGTTCTGGGCCAATTGCCCATCACTGGAATCAGATAAGAGTCACAAAGGAGGGAGAGACTTCCAGGCACCTCTGTTCTCGGTCCCCGTCTCTCACGTACACTTGGATGTGGGAGACAGACAGAAGGATGCGGTCACTGAGCATCCTGTTCCCTTGAGGTCAGGTTCTGCACGGACACCAGTGGGTGAGGGGCAGAAGGGACACGGGACACCTGATACTGAGAACCTGTGGTGCCCACTTACCTACTCCTCTCCACCTCCTCGAGCCTTTGCCACCTGCATTTTTCAACTGCAGAAACTGAAACTTCAGGATGAGTCACTTGTTGATAAGTGGCAAGGCTGGGACTTGAACTCAGGTCTGTCTGGCTCCAGGGCCATGTCTCACCCTACCTCCCACACTCTTACTGAAACAGGTGGTGACTCAGCCCCGGTGTCCCTTAAGGGGAGGATAACCACACCCAGGGCCGAGGAGGTGAGGCTGGGTGTGGCAAGGCAGCCAGCCCGGGGAAGAGGGCCAGTGAGTGATTTACCGACAATAATAATAGTGCTCACATTTGGAGCACACTCTCCCGCACAGAGCCCCTTCCCACCACTGGCTGGCCCAGTCCTCGGGTCACCTGGATCCAGGGTTCTGCTTCTGGAGTGTGGGGGTCCCACCCAGGGGCCTCATCAACTGATGGCCTCTCCACATGTCTACCTGTTTTTCCAGCTGGATTTTGCTGCCAGATGCCCGGGCTCCCTTCACACATCCTCTCCTCGTGGCTGTGCAGGTCGGGCTGGGGCTCCTGTCGCTTCCACCACATCTCACTGCCCCTGGAAGGGGAGTGGGGGCGTCTACACTGGCGGTCCCTGCATCCATGCTGACTGCTGAGGTCGGCCGAATGCCAGCCTTTGACCCAGAGCAGCCCGGGCAACCCAGAGTCAGGGCCTATCTCTCTCTAGCTTAGGGTCTTCTGGGGGTTTTTGTCTTTAGTTTTGTCACTGAAAATAAAGAAGAGATTTTAAAGTAGCTTGTGAGAACTTCTCTCTCTGCCTTAGGGTCCTGGCCAAGCCTAACCCGCTCGGGGCCCCTTCAGGAAGGTTCTTTCAGGGCTCTCTGCGAGACTGGCCTCTGTCATCCAGAGCTCAGCTGACAGTCCCTCCCTCAGGAAACCATCCCTGCACTCTCAGCCCAGACTAATCCTCTCACCCCCTCACTTACTGCCAGTCTCTCCGCCTTATTCTAATTCTCCGCTTTCGATTTTCTGATGGTTTTCTTTGTCACTTACTCATTCAGCCATTAGCGCGTCTTACTCCAGCACTCAACTAGAATGTGGACACTCCAAATGCAGGGACCACAACATGCCCAGGATCCAGAACAAGGCGGGAGGTGTATAAAATAGCTGTTGAATGAATGAACGAAAGAACGAACGAATGAATGAATGAATGAAAATTGAAAGCTCATCCTATTTCTCTCAACTGAGCTACTTCCCAAATGCATGACCTTGAGCCAGTGGTTTTACTTCCCAGATTCTAGATTTGTGATCAGTGAATGAAGTTGATCACACCTACTTCTTGGGGTTGTTTGTGAGTCCCATGAACAGGAATTTTTGCCAGACCCTCACCTCTTTCTTGATGAGTGCTTCCGGTTGGTGAGAAGCATGGGAAAGAGTGGAAGGGGTGGGTATACAGACTGAAAAGGGGACACACATTTTATCACCTCCCAGCCCCCTCCATCACAACTGTCACAAATCAAGAACACTTCCCTACTCCCTGGAGGCCGTGGAACTGAGGTGGAAGGTCATTCTCCAGGTGGGCTGCTTTCTCTGGAGTTTACTCCAGGAGCCAGGGTGGGCTGGGGTGAGCCAAAGGCAAGGCTGTCCCCTCCACTCAAGTACCCAGACCGGAGATGAGTCTGCTCTGGTCTTGGCTCTGCTGACAGCCAGCAGTGGAAGCCCTTCCCTGATCCTAAACACCCCAGGTCAGGGAACCCGAGGGCGGAAGGAAGAGGAAGAGATTCACCTGGTTTCCTAAGGGGGAGATGGGAAGATACACTTTTCTGAGTTCTCTCATGCTGAGAACCTTACATACTTTTTTTTAATTCATTATTTCACAGATGAGGAGTTAGGCTCCGATAAGAAATGTCTCGCTGGAGGTCACTCCCTCAGTGAGAAGTGGCAGAGGCCAGCCAGCTCGGGAGGTCAAGCCCTATAAGTAATCCGGCATCCTGGCGCCCCACCCCCAGCCCAGGTGGGGCCTCCCTAAGGCCACGGTTCTGAGACTTCATAAGAATCCTTCAGGGGACCTTGTTTAAAATGCAGGTTCTTGGGCCCCATACCCAGAGAGTCTGATTCTGGGTCTGCGTGGGGCCCAGGCACCTGCCTTTTTAACAAGCGCTGCTGGATGGGAACCATACCCCCCAAAGAAAGCAGTCCTCCCTCCTCTATCACTGGGACCCCGGGACCCCACTTCCCCTATGCCTGGCGTCTAGAGCAAGAGGGATCTGCCCCCATGGCTAACCCCAGGGCTGATCAGCTCGTTAATCCCGAGGCGTGCTCCCTCTGGGCTGGCACGGCTCCCAGGGCGGGAAGACTGGTGACCCACATTCTAAATCAGACCACGCAAGCCGGCTCTCTGGGCCTCCTCGGCTTCACCTGCCAGAAAGGAGGGGGCGAGGGCGGCGGTCCCCAAACCTCAGCCTTTCACACGTCACAGTCCTGATGTCTGCTTTAATATTTCACTTTATGGAAAGCTTTTCTTACTCTAAATAAATTTAGGTAAGAAACATATGGCCTTGGCCGGGTGGCTCAGTTAGTTGGAGCATCGTTCTCTGCACCAAAAATGTTACAGGTCTGATCCCCCCGGGGCAGGGCACGTACCTAGGTTGCAGATTGGATCCCAGGTTGGGGTGTATGCAGGGTGGGGGGCAGCTGATCGATGTTTCTCTCTCTTTCTCTCTCAGTCAATCAACAAACGTATCTTTGGGTGGGGAAAAGGGAAACCAAAAGGAAACATGTCACTCTGGCATAGGGAAAACCAAGATCACTCGTCATAAACAGAAGAAGGGCATGAGAATAAATGCAACAAACAAAACTCTCCTTGGACAGAAGAGGTACACAGTCAACAGCTGGGTGAACCAGCAGGCGCCCGAGAGACACTCAGGGTAGCTGGGCTCCACACTGACGCCACCCTCCCCTCGACACCGTCTGAGGGCTCCCCGTGAGTCCGTGCAGTTCATTCAATCCTCTCCCGAAAGCCCCGCACCAGGGAGACGAGGGTGAGAATGTGGGATCCGCAAAAGTGGGCAGTCAGGGAGCTGGGGCCAGGAGCCGAGGGGCCTCACACCGGGCCTGCTGGTCTCTCCTTTGCTCCATGGCCTTGAAAGGGATGAAGA